TAAGCCAGACACTGTTCTAGCCCACTTCAGACGCATTTTCTTGCTTAAGCCAGACACTGTTCTAGCCCACTTCAGACGCATTTTCTTGCTTAAGCCGGACACTGTTCTAGCCCACTTCAGACGCATTTTCTTGGTTAAGCCAGACACTGTTCTAGCCCACTTCAGACGCATTTTCTTGCTTAAGCCAGACACTGTTCTAGCCCACTTCAGACGCATTTTCTTGCTTAAGCCAGACACTGTTCTAGCCCACTTCAGACGCATTTTCTTGCTTAAGCCGGACACTGTTCTAGCCCACTTCAGACGCATTTTCTTGGTTAAGCCTGACACTGTTCTAGCCCACTTCAGACGCATTTTCTTGCTTAAGCCAGACACTGTTCTAGCCCACTTCAGACGCATTTTCTTGCTTAAGCCGGACACTGTTCTAGCCCACTTCAGACGCATTTTCTTGGTTAAGCCAGACACTGTTCTAGCCCACTTCAGACGCATTTTCTTGCTTAAGCCAGACACTGTTCTAGCCCACTTCAGACGCATTTTCTTGCTTAAGCCGGACACTGTTCTAGCCCACTTCAGACGCATTTTCTTGCTTAAGCCGGACACTGTTCTAGCCCACTTCAGAAGCATTTTCTTGGTTAAGCCCTCACAACCATACTCTGAGGCAGTTACCATCCTTATGCGTATTTTACAGATGAAGAAACTGAACGTTTTAAAATATGAGCCTTGTTCCCAATATGGATTTAAGTGAGTGGCATCGTGACTACCCAACAATGGAAAGAGAGAGAAAACTAGCGTGTCTGCAAGTGAGCTATTTTGAGACACTACAGAGTTGTAAATCATGCTATTTCTAGGACTACCCACTCTTTTAACCCTCCTTGACATAAAATATGATCCATTATTCTAACTTAATATATCTATCTTCACAATTCACATTAAAATAATAGCACCTGGCCTTCTGGAACATGAACAGCAACCCAAGAGGATTCTGGCTACAGTGAGCCACAGTGAGCAGGTGGCTGGTAGGAGAACTGTGTAGAACATAAAATGATGCAATTCTAATCCAGCCCTGGCCCTCAGTAACAACTGCTTTAGAAAAGTCACTGAAGAATCTGTTTAATGCAAGTAATGGCATTGCTGAATGCATAAGCTGGTACTCCTTTTCTGAAGGGCAATTACAATATGCCTACTAGAGCACCCTGCAGTTCATGACCAGGTGTCAACAAAATGCGTGCAACAGGACATTCACTGCAATGTTTTCTATAATAGCAAAACACTGAAAACAACCTAAATGTTGATTAGTGAGGGAATGTTAACTCACGGCACCGTGTATATAACACATAAATACACAGAAATACCATGCAACCATTAAAAAATATATTGCTGGATGGGCACAATGGCTCACGCCTATAATCCCAGCACTTTGGGAGGCTGAGGTGGGTGGATCATAAGGTCAGGAGATCGAGACCATCCTGGCTAATAAAGTGAAACCCTGTCTCTACTAAAAATACAAAAAATTAGCCAGGTGTGGTGGCATGCATCTGTAGACCCAGCTACTCAAAAGGCTGAGGCAGGAGAATTGCATAAACCCAGGAGGTGGAGGTTGCAGTGAGCCGAAATCACGCCACGGCACTCCAGCCTGGGTGGCAGAGCGAGACTCCACCTCAAAAAAAAAATACACACACACATATATGCATATATGTATATATTCCTTATGTGTATTTATTAGCACGGAAAATAGACCACAATATATAATACTAATATATGAAAAAAGCAGGTTAATAGCAGAAACCATTCCATTATTTTTTTTAAAAAAATGGCAAAGTACATATGTGTCTACAGAAAATAATGTCAAGATTACAGAACAAAGATTTACAGAGATGATTTCTATTATGTGGAAACTCCCTGTAACTGTCACTTTCTTCCTTAAAACTTTCCTGGTTTTTTAAATTCTTATACTGAATGGGTCTTACTCTTATCCTAACAAAAAAAACCAACGCTGTTTGTATTTTGAAAAAGATAAAATGGAGCAATGGTAACTATTGCTGTTCATAAAGCGTATACTTTGGGAACCGCATGTTGTGTAGCACATAGTGCAGCAATAAATAGGAAGCATTTGGACCAAGTTCCTTTTGGCTTCTTCAGCTCTAGGAATCTTCTTTCCGTTAATTTTTTCTTCATTAGTTAAGCTGCTACCCCAATGCTGTCTGGGTAAGAAATGACCCAGAGACGTCGATATGACAGCTGTATACCAGGCACAAACAGATCAGAAAGCCTGGAATTATTTTGGTTCTGGTTCTCCCCTAAGCAGACCCTGAGATAAAGTTCAAGTGCAGGTAGTTTAACTTGGGAAGTTGACTGGATGGGAAGACACAGCACGAGGTGCACTATCAAGCAAGTTCCACTGGGGGCAGCTGGAGCTTCATCCCACTGGGGAATCCTAAGGCACAAGTCAGGGCAAGCGGCTCAGTTATCCTGTCTGAGGAGTGAGGAAGTAGGGAATTTATCAACTAACTTTCACCAATCACAGGTTGAAGGCTACTCCCAGGGCACAGGAATTCCCTGGCTCTTCAGGCCTGCTCTGTGTGCAGGTCAAGTGGGCTCCAGGGACCAGAGAAAGCCCTCCGAGATGAGTCATGGGTACCAACAGTTGGAAATGGGAAAAAATGCTAAGTGCCAGGGGTACTAAGGGGATATGTAACAAAAAGTGAGCTCTTTGAGAGGAGACATTACCTGATGGTCTGAACATGTTGAGAAGACAGAAAGAAACTAGGCAAATAAAAACATCAGATAATAACTCCTAATGGGGGAAAAAAGGTTGTGTGTAAAAGGAAAAAAAAAGAAAAATTAGAGGGCATGGTGGTGCATATCTGTAGCACTAGCTATTACGGAGGCTGCAGTGGGAAGATCATTTGAGCCGGGAGGTGGAGGTTGCAGTGAGCTGAGATTGTGCCACTGCACTCCAACCTGGACAACAGAGCAAGACCCTATCTTAATAAAAATAAAAAGGAGGGGTTAGGTGGCTCACACTTATAATCCCAGTATTTTGGGAGGCCCAGGTGGGAAGATCACTTGAGGCCAGGAGTTGGAGATTAGCCTGGGCAACATAGCAAGAGACAGATCCCTACAAAAAATTTAAAAATTTCTTGGGTATGGTGGTATGCACTTGTAGTCCCAGCTATTCAGGAGGTTGAAGCGGGAGGATCACTTAAGCCCAGGAGTCTGAGAATGCAGTGAGCTATAATTGTTTCACTACACTCCAGCATGGGTGACAGAGTAGAGCTTATCTCTAAAATAAATAAATAAATGGAAAAATGATAGATTACAGCTGGGTGCAGTGGCTCACGCCTGTAATCCCAGCACTTCGGGAGTGCCTAGGCCACCAGATCACCAGGTCAGGAGGTGAAGACCATCCTGGCTAACACAGTAAAATCCTATTTCTACTAAATGACAAAAAAAAAAAATTTGCTGGGCATGGTGGCACATGCCTGCAGTCCCAGCTACTTGGGAGGCTGAGGCAGGAGAATCACTTGAACACGGAAGGCAGAGGTTGCAGTGAGCCAGGATCACACCACTGTGTGGTCACACACAGATATCTTGGGGTCAGCCTGATGAGTATGAAACTGCATTCCAAGTTTCAAATAAAGGATTGACAAACCAACTTGCAGAAAACAGTTCTTTGCAATGCTTAGGAGTGACTGTGGATAGCGGGCATTTCTCAAACCACCCTCTGCCTCCCCCTCCTCCCTGTCTGTTCCTCATTTGCCTCCTCCAATGCCTGATAGAATTCCAAAGTCTGCAATATTAGGTATAGCCTTTGCTACTTAAGGCTAAACATAAACATTAAAATAAAGTAAAAAAGAATTCTAGATCCAGGGTTACAGTCTTTGATATCTGAGCCCACAATAAGCTTCAAAACTAGATTTGCCTTGCAAAGGCGCTGAAGCCCTTTAGCCCACCATTATTTTTTAGCCTATCTGATGTGACCACCACCTTCCTACCCGTCCTTTTTAGTAATGCTTGATACATGGGTAGCGCCTTCATTTAAAGGCATCTCCTCCTACATCTCTCATCTGACCTCAATGCTATCCTATTTCCCAGATGAGAACTCCACAGGCCACAGAATTGAGGGATCTGACAGACATGGGGGGCGGGGGAAAGCGACAGGAACAAGCAAGAGCGTCTGAGAAGGGCTCCTGTAGGTACCAAAGCTTCTCCACCTGTGGCCTCAGCTGTGGAGGGAATTCATGGGGATGGAGATGGAAATGGGGATGGGGATGGGGATAGGGGGATTAACTTAGATGGGAAAAAGGTGTTACATCTTCAATTTCGCTATCCTCCAAAGAAAATTTCCCATTTCTTTGCACTATGAATGTAGCAAAGACCCACAATAAAGAAGTGCCTGTGACTATCAGTAGAAATCAAACATCCCCACTTCACATCGCGGTTGCTGCTGATCTCCTGAAATACCGTTTGTGCAGACCACAATGTCAACACTGCAGTAAGGAGTTACCGCTGCCGCTGGCCCCTGCGGTTTCAGCCCTTCATCAAGAAGCCGGTCTGGGACCCCCTCACAAGTGTGTTCTAATCCTTTGGGCCCTTAGTCGTTTAAGTCACGTTTTCCAGGAAGGAGTATAAACGCTTCAGACTACCAAGCCCGCCATTTAAATTCAGAACTTCAGAGGCCGGAACCCTGGAGCCGGGGACCCTCCCCAACAGCACAGGGTCGCCCCCAGCCCGCGCGCCCCCACCCCTCGAACTCTCAGAGGTGGGAATCCCCGCAGGGTTACCTGGGGACCCCGTTAGGAACACGTGCCGGGCCATGAGGGTGGGCAGGGGTAGGGGTCGCGGTCAGGGTAGCAGTCCGGGTTGGGGTCGCAATCCAGGTCAGATCCGGACCAGGGTCTCAATTCAGGACCCGCCCACCGCGTGTCTCAGGCCCCGCCCCCCAGCGGTGCGTCGACCGGAAGCACCGCCCTCAAGACTACGCATGCGCCTTCTCCCGCGTCCTCAGTCCGCGCCTGCGCACTCGGTCCTCGGCGTTTGTGCCTGTGCGCCCGGCAGTTCCTAAAAGAGCGGTTGTGAGGTCTCTAAGTTTCTTTCTGGGTTCTGGTCTTTTGTGGGGTTTTTGCAGAAATAAGTGCGTGAGAACGTCCGTTATTAAACTATTGCTGCTTCAAGTGAGCGCCATCACCCAAGTTCTGCCCTGGACCCCGCACCTAGGAGCTGAAATTGCCCCAGGCTGCGGGGACAGCCCTTTTGTAGAAGGTTTGGGTCCTGGAAGCATTCCTCAAAGGGGGATGCCAACGTAATAATTCCAACTATGTTCTCAACCATTCCTGCAAAGTAGAATCAGCTGGGGAGTTTTACACTTGCTCTGATGCCTGGGTTTCACCTGCAAGAGTAGGAAGTGTCAGAAGACAAAATTACAAGTTTAGTTTAAAGGTCTAAGTGGCGGCGGCGCGCGGTGTCTCACGCCTGTATTCCCAGCATTTTGGGAGGCCGAGGCGGGAGGATCATTTGAAGTCACGAATTCTAGACCAGCCTGACCAACATGGCAAAACCGTGTCTCTACTAAAAGTACAAAAAAATTAGCTGGGCATGGTGGCGCGTGCCTGTAGTCCCAGCTACTTGGGAGGCTGAGGCAGGAGAATCGCTTGAACCCAGGAGGCAGAGGTTACAGTGAGCTGAGATCATGCCACTGCACTCCAGGCTGGGCAACAGAACGAAACTCTTGTCTTTAAAAAAAAAAAAGAAAATCTAACTGGCTTATATTTGGGATCTAGAATGGGGAAACATCATTCTATAAAGCAAATAGAGTGTGTTCCAATGAGCTGCGCAGAGGAGGTTGGCTTAATGGGCAAAAAAAGGCTGAAGAACACAACAAACAACTAAGGTGGGTATTTCGCAGTTATTTTCCTTATAGGGTAAAAACAGTTTGGATGTTGTTAGTGTACTGACTCAGGTTGACTAGGATCTCCTGTTTTTTGGGAAAACTGGCCTGTTTCAAAGTTCATTTTGGTAACATGGCACTTGGCACAAGTGACTCCATTCTGGTTTGGTCTAGTCTGCTAGGACCCAGTACAGGAGGTTAGTCCAAAACAGTGGCCTCCCATAAATCTTGTTTAACTTGAGTAATTGGTCTTGGGCGAGTCCTGAGCGTCTGTGTTCTTTTTACTTCTTTCTAAACTCCAGGAAGTTCCCAAATTGCACTAGGGTTGAGAACCACTGGTGTAGGCAGACTTCCCATCCTGAGTCATGCATAGGAAGCCCAATTTTCCCTCTTTTCCTTCACATTAAAGTGTATACCAAGGCCGGGCGCGGTGGTCCCAGCACTTTGGGAGGCCGAGGCGGGTGGATCACGAGATCGAGACCATCTTGGTCAAAATGGTGAAACCCCGTCTCTACTAAAGATACAAAAAATTATCTGGGCATGGTGGCGCGTGCCTGTAATCCCAGCTGCTCAGGAGGCTGAGGCAGGAGAATTGCCTGAACCCAGGAGACAGAGGTTGCGGTGAGCCGAGATCGCGCCATTGCGCTCCAGCCTGGGTAACAAGAGCGAAACTCCGTCCCAAAAAAAAGTGTATACCAAAGCCAGACCTAGCTGGAAGATCTCCTCTGGCAAAGAATTAAATAGCTTCTCCGTCTCACTTTACCACTGCAAATGTTCCAGCCAACGAATGCCATGGCAGTGGCCTTGGGCCATATTTACCTGTAAACTCTTGCAGTCTAACATGTGTACAGCTTTATTTGTGGTCAGTCATTCCCCATCCTGGCTGTGAAAGCAATTTAGTGAGTGCTCAGCTTAATTGGTTTGTGCCCACACATGGAGCTCCTGGTTTCCCTTTAGCCTGAGACATATGCCAATCCAATGATTATCTAAAAAACAAAGTAAAATGTAGCTGTCATCACCATTATTTCTGCAACATTTATAATGCTACATTATTACAACAATATATTATTTATTATCTCAACTGGTAATATAGGGCCTTCTACCTTGATTTATTTTGCACTCCATGCATGTTGAGTACAATGAAAAGCTGATAAAGCAAAGTAAATCCATAGGAGGAACTTCCAAAGAAAGGGGGGAAGTATATGTATCTTTTGTATCAAGAATGTTAATTTTAAATGTAAATCATGCAGCATTTTCCATCACTGAAAAGCAGTTTGGATTTGCAAGGCTCACCGGAAGTTGGGTTATTTTGTTTTGATGCTGTGCCTGGAATTCTGGCATCAATTTCAGTAGTTCCAAGATATATGCAATCCAGGTATAGTGAATTGATGCCTCAGAAAACAGAAAAAAAGACTTCCAAAGTTGGATGTTCTTTATCATGAAAAATGAATTATTTGGATTACATGGGTATCTTCATTTAGAAAATTCATTGATTTGATGCTTAATTTCTTTCCTCTATGTGTTATTAGGCATCAGTAACAACAAATTAGCTTATATCTCTTAGAGACTAACAACAAAAGATGACATAAATGTAAACTAATTTTAAAATAAATAGGATCTTAAAGTACTGTACCATACTGAATCTAACTTGTGCTTCCTATCTAATCAACATCCAATGGATTGATGTTTGTGTCCCCCCAAATGCATATTGTTGAAATCTCAATCCACAAGGTAATGGTATTACAGGGTGGGGCCTTAGGGAAGCAATTAGGTGTTTAGGCCATGAGAGTGGAGCCTTCCTGAATGTGATTAGTGCCCTTACAAAAAGACAGGAGAAAACTTGCTTTCTATCTCTCTGCTCTCTGCCTTGTGAAGATACAAGGAGACTGCAATCTGTCAACCAAGATGAGGACCTTCCCCCAAGAACCTGATCATGATGGCACCCTGATCTTAAACTTCAGCCTCCAGAGTTGCAAGGAGTACATTTTATTTGTTTGTTTAAGCCACCCGTCTGTGGTACTCTCTTATAGTAGCCTGAGCTAACACACGAGATAGAATTACCTAAGGAACAGATGATTACAATGATTTCTTCCTACAACACCTGGGTGCAGCCTCATTTTTGGCAGGATGAAGTACAATTCTTTATTAAAACAGTTTGTAGATACAACTCTACAGTCTCTACAATCGTAAAATGTCCTAAAGTCCAAAAAACACTGTTTATTTTGTTTTCCTATCTCCCTTTTCCCAGGACTGTCCTCATTTTTAATCTGCAAGTCCTGTGTCTTAGGAAGCCCTTCAATCCCAAGCAAACCAGGATGGATGGTCATCAAACTGTTAAAGGAATATATGGAAAGTAAACCAAAGGTTTTATGCGGTTAAACAAGATATTTCCTTCTTACAAACAAGGCAAAGGCTAATACTTTGTTGTAACCTGTTGTCTTTTCAGCGGTCTTTATAGAATGACTGTTTAATGCCATCTGTACCTAAAGTCTGAGCCATTCATACCCTGGGTTCTAATCTCTGTGCAGAACAATGTTCTATCCTGTCAGTAACCTAGTAGGACAGAAGCAAAGATGACTTTACACCCCTCACCCCACCCTTTCCTGCACTGCACGCCTGAATGTCCCCCACACCCAGCCACTACTGGCATCCGGTGACATCTTCCTGGCTGGACACAGAAGAAGAGTTCTGGCATATTTAGGATACAGTTTCCTAAGTACAGGAAAACTGAAAACAGAACAAAGAAAAAGTGTGGATGTGAAAATAACAAAGTGGAAAGAGAGACCATTGTGTTGTTTGGCCAGGCTACTGTTCATTTAACTGTATGGAAATAGCAGCTAAATTCTACTTTTAGGAACCGCCTTCCTCCCAGGCCCTGTGATTGATAGGAGTGAACCTCCCTCTTCTTCTCATTCTCCAAGGGGAGCATATGACCCAAACCTGGTCAATGAGATCATTCTATCTTCCCAGCCTCAGTGACTGACTCTGAGGAAGCACGGGACCCAAGCTAGGTCCACACCACCTCCACTCCTAGCCATTGGGGATCAAGGACAGCCACCAACCAGCATGACTGAAGCAGAGGGACAAGGGGTGTGAGAGGCCTCCCCTCCCACTCTCCGCAGGCACCCCTTACTCATCCTCCAGGATGGGCTCAACTGCTACTGCTCTGTAAGGTTTCTGTGGTTATCCAGGCCCAGCCCCTGCCTCTTTGGCCTTCCCTTGCAGCACCCTCATGATTGCTGGCATCTGCCTCTTCTCCTGCCACTCGGTTATGAATTCCTTCAAAGGCAAGACTCTAGGGTGGGCGCGGTGGCTCATGCCTGTAATTCCAGCACTTTGGGAGGCTGAGGCAGGCAGATCACTTGAGGTCAGGAGTTCATGATCAGCCTGACCAACATGGTAAAAGCCTCTCTCTACTAAAAGTACAAAAATTAACCGGGTGTGGTGTTGGGTGCCTGTAATCTCAGCTACTCAGGAGGCTGAGGCAGGAAAATCGTTCAAATCCAGGAGGTGAAGGTTTCAGTGAGCTGAGATCACAGCACTGCACTCTAGCCTGGGCAAGAGAGTGAGACTCCACCTCAAACAAAAAAAACATCTAAAGAATCTTGCACTATTCATCTCTTTATTCCCAGAATATAGCATGGTACTTACAGCACATTCATCCATCACCGTGTGCCAGGAAATGTATGTTCTGGGGATACAGCAGCAAAGAAGACAGTCTCTGTGCTGGTATAGCTTATATTCTGGTGGAAGACACAAACAGGTTGGCAAGTTCATAAATAAAACGCCCCTGAGTGGTAAGGCCATGGAGGAAAAATAAAAGGATGGGAAATGAAAAGGGAAATGGATGTGCTACTCCATAGAAGGTGGTCAGGGAATGTCTCAGGATATTACTGAGAATACAGCATCTGAGCAGAGAGGTGAAGGAAGCAAGCCCTGCAGGTGTAAGGGGATGGCAGCCTAGAGAGAGGCATTGGCATGTGCTGAGGTCATGACGTAGGACTATGTGGCCTGAGGAGGAACGAAGCAAGCCAGTGTGGCTGGAGCAGAGTAGGAGAGAGATGCATAGGTGATGAGGTCAGAGGGGCTCCAAGGGGCCAGATGGTTCAGGCGTTATAGGCCGTGGTGAAGACTCGAGCTTTTACTGTAACAGAGCTGGAAAGTCATTAGAGGGTTTTGGCCAGAAGAATGGCATTATGTAAATTTTTTAAGGGATCATCAGGCATGTGTGTAGGAAATAGATGACAAAAAGGCAAGGGTAGAAGCAGGAAGACCAGTCTGAATGCTACTGTAATAATCCAGCTGCTACAGAGATCATGTTTGTGCATTTACTGGCAAATGCTTATCATAGGTACTTAATGATTGTTTTCTTAAGCAAATGAGTGAATAAATGAATTGTATTCCCATAGACAGCATTGGACTGTTAGGGAAGGCAAAGAGCAGGGGCAGAGCAGCAGAAAAGTCCTACAGACTTTCCCAGCTTTAAAGGTGGTCACTGAGGTAACTATCCAGTAATCATCCTCAGGCAGTGTCCCCATGGGATAGGCATAAGACTTTGCTCGACCAAGCAAGTTAGGCAGGTCACTCACCTACTAGGTGTTCCCCTTCTAATAAGAACAACTGTGTATTAGTTGGTGCAACATACTACATATTAGAACAGCCAAGCCCCACTGAGAAGTCCCTGGTCACAATTTTGTGGTGCCACATCAAGTACACAGACACTGTCTCATCAACCTCTCTTTACAAAGGTCACGTGAAGTTACACAGCTAGACTTGGGGAAAGAGGACCAGCTGAAAGAATTGCTCTAAGGGATCCCCAGGGGTGCTGATGGGAGAAGCAGCAATCCTACCTGTTTTGGGCAAACTTCTAGAATGGCGTTGCAGATTTCCTGCCTTTCAATCTGTATGTGCCATGCATAACTCCCAAGACTGTGAATATAGTAGAAGTGTCCTACTCTTGTGATTAGGTTATGTTATATGATCTTAACTTGACTTTAAGATAG